GATGATGCTGTGGAGAGAGATTCATTCAAAAACATTTTCTTCCCTAATCCACCCATAACTATAGTAACCTGATTCCCTTTTCAAACACTTCTAGCTGATAAGTAGAGACGTTCAGGTTTGATTGAGTATACATTTCTGTATAAAGATACGGCAGCATGTTAGTGTCTTCATCAATTAACTTCATAACCTGTATTTCTTGGTGTCTGCTTTACAATTTTGTATGGTATAGATCTATTACATAGCTTGGTGGTTGTGGTAGCTGGTTGGTGCTGTCCCAAGATGGTGGCTTGGGACTTAGCCTGCGCTATCGACCAATCCATTACTATTGAAGATGTATTCTCGTTTATCGACCAATCCCTGCCTGGTTACTGTCCAGGACTAGTCGAATTGTTCATTTTGTAGCTTCTTTGGGTACTTCTTTAAGCACCCAAAGAAGCTACTTTTGAGCTAAGCTAAACATGTTCTTACGACTGTGGGGAGGGTGGGGAACCAAAAGTCGAAATGGCAGGACAGTTACTTGGGTTGGTGGTGGAAGGAGGCTGGGAAAAAATATGAGATTAAATTCCAAAAGCACTGCTAGTTTCTTAAGATACATTTTTGCTCAACTGAATTATAAGAATAATTACAATGCAATAGTGGATTTTTGGTGCCACGTCAACATCGTTATTATACACATTAGATTTATCATTACATTTCGGGATGGGATTGGATAAGAAAATTCTAGTACCAGTACTCTGTTAATGGTTAATTGACATGTGAAAAATAACTGTGATCTATTATTTAATTGGGACTTTGCCATACATATATCAATTAAATGGTAATGGTGTGTTGAATTTCATACTCCACAATGTTAGAAATTATATATAATATAATTTTGATAATGAAACTACACCCTAATTACATTATTACATAGAAATATCATGATACTTTTTGAGTATTGGAAATATCTCAAGAAATGGCACGATACTTTTTGAGAGTTAAATATCTTAATGATTACTGTACTTTTGTAATTGTTTTTTGCCAAAGAATTTAACTGCTACCGTTAATAATAACTAAAAGTGTTAGCTTATATCATCGCGTCTCCTTCTATTCGAATATTTGAATTAAAAAATTAGTTTCCGATATTAATTAACTTAAAACAAGTGTTGTCTCAATGGACACTAAACTAGCGTCAAATATTTGTCATGTCATTGAAAACATTAATGTTTCAAACGGAAAAGAGTTAAGAGTGATTGATGTGATAACAAGTTGTAAAGTTCAGTGATTACTGAGAAAAAATTTGTTGTTCAATGATCAATTAACGTCAAAAGTATAGTAACCATTGGGTATTTAATCCTACTTTTTGAGTAACTTGACATTTGAAATTTACTTGTGAATAATTGTGATTTAATCGGCATGAGAGATTTTGTTTAAAGTGCCATATTTTACCTGCATTGAACATCTCTAAAAGTTGTTCAATATTCTACCTTTGTTTCAACTTTTTTTCAATGCATTATTAAACTCAACCTTTCGTTAATTAAGCATATTTTTATCCAAATATTCTGAAACCATGCTTTATGATGAGAGGCAAATATTTTGTCAAACATTTTCAATACATATTTGCTTCTTTAAAAATATGATGTGCAAATAAGTCTTTTACACATTTTTAATAGATTTTTTTGGACGGAAATCATTATTGAGATAAGATATACTAATTAATGAAAGGTTAATAGAATAAGAACGCAGACAAAAAAATCAAGGACTTCCTTGCAGTTAAAACGTAGTGCAAAAAATGTTTGTCACTATTAATATAACCACCTTATAAATAAACATATGAATGTATTTAACTTTCAAATTACATACTTTTACAAAATTTATAAAGTTGTTAAATGGTAGGGATAACAAAAAAATCCGTTTAATCCGATATCCGTGGAACCCCGCCCCGAATGGGACGGATAATACCCACCTAACCTGGTACATAGGATAGATATGGGGCGAGGGTCATTGCCTTGAAGTGAGTACGGGAAACATAGTCCTCGCCCCATTACTCACCCATTTAATATGAATTTCAAATTTAAGTTTTTATCAAACGAAAATAATAGATTTATCATTATTTTTAAAGAGAACATAAGTTATTTTTAACAAATTGGTAAATAGTAATACTATTTACTAACTAAGGACATAAAAAATAAAAGCAAAAAAAAAAGGAAAAAGAAAAAATAAATGGGGCAGAGACTTGCCCCCGCCCCATCCCGCTTTAACTGGGTATGTGTATGGGGTAAGATAACAAAAATACCCAACGAGACGGGGTGAAAACGGCCAATTCGTCCCATATCTACCTCGTTGCCATCCTTATTAAATGTAATATTTCTAAATTTTAAGACAGCCAAACCATTCCTAAAATCAATATTACTATTTTAAATTGTTTCCAACCCCACTTCTCCCCCTCGTTGTGCTCTCTCTACTCCTCCGTGAAATTTCTTTGCCTGAACCTTGGAGGTCTAGGTTTCGCCATAAACAGGTACTTAATGAGCTCAGATTGTTTATAATTTTTGCCATTGGCTTCTTAGGTTAGGAGGTTATTCATCAAAGGAAACTGACAAATCAATTGTTGGAAATAGTTCGTTACAATATATTGAATGAAATTGGTTGTTTTCTAGCATACTTATGAAGGTTGGATGAATATACCGAACAATTTCATTAGATGAATTAGGAAGGTCATGAATGAGTTGGATGACACATCTTTAACAACCGAGGTGCTTTTCATTTTATGCCGATTGTTTGTAAACGTTTATCGCGGCATATTTTCTGTTGTTTGTTTGTTTAGATTTTTGAAGGATAAAATTAGCAAATTAATATTCAGGGTTTTAGGGTTCAGGAAAAAGTGGCTAACTCAGATCGTTGCGATCTTATACAGTTTCTGCAACAAATTAGAAGAACCAAAAAAAATAACAATAATAATAATAAATAAATAAATAATAAAATGTGTGGATTACTGCAGTTTGGTGATTGTGACTTATTGTATTAAATCTGTTCTCCCTAAATGCCTTGGGCATTTTACAGACTGCATCAAATTTTGAATTACAAATTTGAGATTCTGTGGAATCGAAGAGTGGTTATGTTTGCCCCATGAATGTGGTTGTTTATTGATATTTACTTTTGTGATGTAAAATCTTTGAATTGACAGTCAGAATTTATTTATTGCTATCTCAAATTATCAATCATAAATAAAATGACTCTGAACATTTTCTATGCATTCTATGTGATTGGCTTAACAAAACTGGTAAATATGGACTGAGAAACATGCTATTTGTTTGATGAATTTCATATACCGTGCACTATGTTTAATTGATTAAATTTCTTATCTCCCTTTATTACTTTTGTCTCATCTAAGATAATTTTGTTTTTAACCAGTTGCAGAGTATATCAGGTATTCATTATTTAACCTTCGAGGCTAAAGTTGTGCTGAAGAGAAAGATCAAATTGTGAGGAACTAAAGGCCTCTCAATGGCCCTGAATACCATAAATATATCAAAGCACTTCTCTTGANAGAGAGAGAGAGAGAGACAATTTTCAGAAAGTGGAAGTGACATTGTCATCTCATTGCTTGCCTGATAAGCCAATTTAGTCCGAACTAAATCGAGTGGATAAGTGAAAAGTACTGCTGTTCCTCCAGCAAATGATCCAGCCATGAGATCAAGGACAGGACCTCTCCCAGTGCCAGGAAAGCCAAGTATGATCCATCGCCGGTATTCTTCATAAGCCATGTAGTGCAATGCTGCATAAGGCACTATACGTGCAACGCTAGCTCCATTCCCTCTAATAACAACCCCCATCAAATGCTTGTGTAAGATTAAGGAAAGGACTGTGTTAGGAATAATAAACTTAGGATGAACCATAATCTCAACAACCAAGGAAGGAAAATATTTGTACCTATAAAAACCCAGCACCCCTTCTGTTTTTGCAATTTTTGTGAAGGAACCAGATAGTCCTAGACTTTGAAATTCAGTCCGTCTAGTCTGGTTAATGGAAAAAAGAATAAATAACAGAAAATAAATTTATTTTCAAGACCTGCATTACAAACAACGCATACTTTCAGGATAGTAGTGCAAAGAACTTACAAGAACAAGAAGAAGAAACTAAGTCCTATTTTTCAATAAATGTGCGGTGAGCTAAATGGTCATTTTTCACTACTTAGATTGATCGTTATATCCAATAAATTCAAACCCTTTGCATCCACAAGAGGCCATTCATTTTTGTCTACTTTTTTTTTT